TTAAATTAATTAATGAATGAATTAAACAAATAAATTATATAAATAAAATTAATTAATTACATAATTAAATAAATAAATAAGCCAGAGTTTCTCTAAATGTAAGAGTCAGAGCTGGCGATGAATACAACTGTCTACATTGTTTTTGCCCCATGTGCTTATTTTCTTTCCGAATAAATGATTTACTAAGAGAGTAATATTTACGCTGACCTGGGTTCATTTGAAATACCCGGCCAAATTCAATAGTGTATAAAAAAAAAAAAATAGGCGTTTTCTTAAAGCTGAACTCCAAGCACAATAACAATATAATCAATTAAATATATTTCTCAATAGATTTAGGCGATCTAAATCCACTTACTATAATTCTCAGCAATGAGAGCGTTCCAGCTTGTGACCTTGAGGTCTGGTTAAGGCATTATGGTAAAATACTGACAAAACCAGCAAAAATACATGATGACATCAACATCTGGACGGGGGGGTTGGTCTGCGGCGGTGAGGTTGGCCCGGGTTGGAGATGTTGTCTGACACCTACCCTCCTCTGCTTTCATAGGGAGGGATAGGATGACCATTTTTTATCCTGGTCAGCCGAAACCGTGTCACCGTTGCGGAGAGAAGAGGCACTTCAGCTCATTCTGTCCAGCCTTGGTATGCTCAACGTGCCGGGCCCGGAGTCACATGGCCAAAGACTGCACACAGATTAGGTGCAACTTGTGCTTATGTCTTGGTCATCCTTACAGCCAGTGTCCCGAGGCTTGGCATAATATGGAGAAGGAGGTAGTGGAGGAGCTGTTGAGGCTGGATAGGGTGGAGAGGGATGGTTTACCATCTTCGTCTGTGGTTACTGACCCCCCTGGTCCCATTCAAGATTCCTCCCCAGCCCCAGTGGTCACCCCTCCTGTGTCTGTAAGTCCACCTCCTGTGTCTGTCTCCGTGTCTCCCCAGCTTTCTGTATCCGCTCCCACTGTGTCAGCCCCTTCTAAGTCTGTGTCCCCTCCGTCTGTTCCCTCCGATGGGTCTCTCCCTTCCTTGTTGGATGGGAAGGAGGGTGAGATTTAATTGCAGAAGAACATTAGAGGTTGCTTGGCAGGGGTGGAGGGCGGTACCAAGCGGGGTGGTTCTGCTTTTTCTGCAGGGAAGTCTTCCAAAAAATCTTCTAAGAAAAATAAAAAACAAGAAAATGAGGTAGCCTTGTCAGAGGCCGGTCTCCAGTATCTGGAAGAGAGGAGGAAGGTTGAGAGGCAGGGGAGGAGGCGGAGAGCTCGTACAGAGCAGGTGGAGGAGCCTCCAGTGACCATCTCTAATCATTTTAGTGGCTTGTCTAGTGCTGATGTCTCCTCTTGTGAGACTGCTGAATCTGAAATGGAGTGTCAGGAGGCCTCAAGAAAAAGAGGGGGTTCGGGTGATGAGCAGCAGAGGGGAGCTAAGAAGCAATCCACCCAATAACCCAAATGGCGGTTCTCCCTCCGTTGACAGTGGCGACAATTAACGTCGCCAGCATTAAGTCGGTAAGTGCTCGTGGCCTACTTTTTGTTCAGCCAATTAGATGCTGATTTTTTTGCAGGAGACCAGGCTCACCTCCTTGGCTGACATTCATGTGGCCAAGAGAGAGTGGAGGTACGGTCCATCATACTGGTCTCCTGCGGCTGAACCTTACAACGTAGTGATGGTGTTGTTTAAAACCAGCATGGTAACTGTCCGGCGAGTTATTGAGTTGGAGATTGGGAGATGCATGGTCTTAAGGTGGCCATACACTTTACAACCATCGCAAGACCCTAGTCTTGCGATGGTTGTAAAGTACTTTTAAAAACATACGATCTGCCCATCTTGGACAGGTAGATCGTACTTGCGATCATCGCAAGCCCGCCCCCTTGAGGGGCTGGAAGACGTGCGACCGTACAGTAGAAACGGTCGCACGCCTTCCATACACTGTACGATTCTCGTACGATCGCGGGATTTCCCGCGATTCTCGTACGAGAATCGTACAGTGTATGGGCACCTTTAGACATCCTTGTGGGGGGGGGGCAGGACCTGCGCCTGATTAATGTATATGGACCGCAGACTAAGCTGACAGGAAATGTCTTTTTACAAGGATCAAGCCATGCTGGCCTTGTGGATGTGCACATTAAGCACCTCCCGGACGACACGAGGTTCACTTTTCATCGAGGTAATAGTCAGAGTAGGATAGACAGGTTTTTTTTGAAGGAGAGCTCTGCTTTCTCACCCCCGGTGGTGCAGGCAGTGGAGTTTTCTGATCACTATTCTGTCTGTGGTCTTGAATACTTCAGACTCCCCTCAGAGTGGCAAGGGCATCTGGAGATTGAATTCGACTCTCCTCGGGGAAGACCATGTTAGACAATCCTTTTTTCGGGCACAGGTGACCATCCTGGACTTTTGTAGCACTAAGGCTGAGTAGTGGGAGCTGACCAAAAAGAGGATCGCTGGATTCTTCAGGGGCCTAGCCAACAGAAAGCAGCTTGATAGATATGTGACCTACCAACATCTGCGGAGGAAGCTGGACATTCTTGTCTCGAGGGGAGGAGATACTGGGGCAATCTCTGAGGTGAAATTCCTTCTCAGGAAGTCTCAATTTGACCAGCATGCCTCCTTGGTTCTGGAGAGGGATTATGGGAAGTACCACTCACCTGACCCTTACCACAACTGCAAAAAAGGTGTAGCTGTTAAGACGGTCATTGGCCTTAAAGGAGAACTATGAGGTGAGTGCTTTTCACTCACCTCATAGTTCTAACGACCTGTGACAATGAGACTGTCACAGGTCCGCTCAGTAGATCGGTAAAGTTCTCCTTTAAGAATAGTGAAGGCTTCTTGACAAAGTCCAGGTCAGGGATCCTAGAGGTCGTAAGGTCCTTTTACGCTGACCTTCTTGGGAGGAAAGTACTTGACCGGGACGGGATAGAAAGCTTTTTGGACTCTACACCAGGTCTAAAGGATGAGGATGTTCCCTTGATGAATTTGTCAGAGGAGATCACAGTTGACGAGGTGACAAGAGCAATTGAACAGCTAGCTGTCAAAAAGTCACCCGGCCCGGATGGCTTGACGGCTGAGTTTTACAAAGCCTTCAGGTCTATCTTGGCCCCACACTTGGTGGAGTTTTTTAATAGTTGCCTTGCTGAGGGGGTGCTTCCCCCCTCCATGAGGAGCTCGGCTGCGATTCTTCTGCCAAAGGGTAAAGATCCTTTGATGATTGAGAACTGGCGCCCCATCAGCCTTCTCAATGTCGATAGAAAGGTACTTGCAACGATATTTTTTTGGCGCTTATCGTCAGTAGCAGAGTCTTTGCTTTCTCCCCAGCAGCACTGTTCAATCCAGGGACAGTTAGGCTGGTGACATAAACTTGATCTCCAGGCAGATATAAAATACATTATTTAATGCAGCTCTGTAATCACCGATACATCATTTTGTATACAAGCAGTGTAAGTACCTCGATATCACCTGGTATCAGCCTTTTGTAGTCTCTGTACAGCAGAGCTCAGACTAGGAGAGGGAGAAGCAGCACATGGAGCCAATCAGGTGTGCAGCAGTGCAAAGGAACACGCTGATAGGGGGAGAGAGCAGAGTGACAGAGTCACAGGGTGGGGGTGAGGAGGAGACCTGTAAGTGAAAGTGAAACCACAGCAGAGATAAATCTCCCTGGCCAGAAAAGGGCTGTGCTGTGTGGCAGAGCTGTGTAAATCTCAGGAATGGATGGACAACATAAAAATCATTTGGCATGTAATACAGCTGCTGTGTATGTACTTTATTTCATCTGTGTATTAAGACCGGAGCCCAGCTTGAGGCTCATCATACAAAGTAAACATGTGATTGGTTCGTTCTACAAAATGTACAAAAAAGTGCCCAAAAGATGAGTCAGTCCTAAATATCTCTACAGGCGAGTGTCAGTGGCGCCATCGGGGGACCGATCACTGAACATGCATCAAACCGGAGAGATGACATCACATCGGTGACATCACATCGGTGCGGCCAGGTCTGGAGGACAAAAGAAGAATACAGATTCATTCCTGGAAGTGCAGACACATTGTATACAAGAAAGAATCGTTTGTTAGACATGCAAAACGGTTCAACATCAATATTATTATCATCATTATATTATTATTTATATTATTATTATTATTATCATATATGGGTTGGACTTGATGGACTTATGTCTTTATTCAACCCCAAATACTATGTAACTATGTAATATATTCAGTGTGTTTTATATATTATCTGTATTTTGACATAGAGAACTGGGAAGTGCCCTCGTGAACCATGCAAAGAAACAAACAAAAAGGAAAGTGTCTTTTCCACGTGTGATTCTGTTTATGAAATGCAAATGATATGTAGAGATAAAAAAATGACTCACATATACAAAATGGAGACGAGCGGTGTAAGACACCACACATGCAGGGCAGAGCCAAAGGAGCTGACGTGTTTGGGGAATTCCCCCTTCCACGGAGCTAACATGCAAATGCCCCAATGTAAATTTATAGACTAGGTAGCAAACATGTCATCCCTGTTTACTACATGTTTGCTACGTCGTGTATAAATTTAGACTGGGGGCACCTACATGTTTGCTACGTCGTGTATAAATTTAGACTGGGGGCACCTACATGTTAGCTCCGAGGAAAGGGTAATCCCCCGAAACACGTCAGCTCCTTTGGTTACCTACTGTCAGTACATAATTAGGGGGTGGGGGGTTTGGGGTTACGTCGGGTCTTGAATTCCAATTCTGGACCCTTTAAATTTGAACCAGATTTATGTTTTGCAGTCGGATGTAAAGCGTTCAATTACTCCCCCCTTCCAACCCCCCTCCCCCCAACGCCTATGTCATCAAATGAACGGAATGCAGGCCGAGAGTCTTGTGTAATATCTATAAAGTGACACATGGGGGGTCACATTGTATCTTTTACATCTGTATATCCCCCTGTTATAAATGAAGGCGGGTGACATATTCCGGCCCCGATTTACAGACCGCCAACGTGATTGGTACACGAGGGTCACATGTCCGGAATTTCTGAGACTCCCCCCC